TTTCTTATACATTCATATTATAATTATACTACGTTTATAGTATTCTAAGGGCGACTGTTACCAACGCCGATTAACTCAATCAGCAGTCATCCTATTATAGACAGAAATTATCATAGTTAAGTAGGAACGCAGAAATGGAAGTATCCCAGTTAACACAATATTACATGTAACTTACCCGTTAGTTGTAATTTCCCACTCAACAATATAACTATAATATAACACGTGTGTTATATTGCAATTATATTATTGAGTAGGAAATAACAACTAACGAGTACGTTACATGTAACTTTGTGTTTGCTGGGATATCACGAAGATAATAAGAACGATATACAGACTTACTATTTGCTCTACTGTTGATTGAGTTAAACATCGATAAAGTTAATCAGCGTTGGTAACAGTCGCCCTAAGTACTTTCAAATAATCTTGCCTTGTATTAATTGGCAGTTACACAAACTATTTCTATTACATTCATGTTACTGTAAAAAAATTCTTATTCATATTACTAGTAAAATTACCGACGTATAATTTTTTCGTTTTCATCATCTAATCTCCTTTTGTTAAATATTGAATTATAAACAAGTGAAGATCGTTATCGAATAAATTGCTTGTCATTATCATTTCCTAGCCTAGTTAATAAATATACCAGTGTATAATTCCATTTCCGTTCGATTTTCTTTTATTAAATATTAATTATAAATTTTTTGTTTCCTAACTTAGTTAACAAATTCGTTGCAGTTAAACAAAGATGTAAACCATACGTGAATTTGACAAAGTCCCAAATTTTTTTGTTCCAAATCGTAAAAAAATACATAATAACAATTAGATAATTTGCGGGAGGAATAAAATATAATATTACTTGTGTTTATTACATATAATATGCAATAGCTCCTGACAAACTTGGGAAATTATTCGTTGCAGATAAACAGAGATGTAAACCATACGTGAATTTGAAAGTTCCAAATTTTGTTCCAAACATCCTTTCGTAAATTCCGTTTGAAAAAAATCTTCTTGACGTTTTCTGGATGGATTCATTAATTATTAAACACATATTTTATAAAATTTTACATTATATCATAATTCTCTTGTCTCATTCCCCACTACACTTGCGATCTAATCATATTCTGCATTATTTTATTTACAATCCTGTAAAGAAGAAAATTAACATTTGATAGAATAGAATACTTTTCGAGAAAACCAATAGTTGTCAACTTCAACGCTTAATATCTCGATTCACGAGGCAGAGCGACACTTTTTTCTGCCAGATTCTTACGTTTCATGCAAAGACGCGTCGAATTAAGCTGCTATACACCAATCGCTCTAGACCGCCGACTGATGGCGTTGATCACGACACTCATTTCTCCGACGGCAAACGAAATCCTAGACACTCATTTCCTCGAACACCTAGACACCCACTTTCTCGGCGGCGAATGAAGACAACACCTAGACATCCACTTCCTCGGCGGCGAACACCTAGACACTTAATCTTCAACGGCAACATCCACTTTCTCGACGGCGAACACCTAGACACCAACTTCCTCGACGGCGAACACCTAGACACCCATTTCCCCAATAGCGAACACTTAGACACCCACTTCCTCGACGGCGATCACCTAGACACTCATTTCCTCGATGGCAAACACCTAGACACTAACTTCCTCGACGGCAAACATCTAGACATCCATTTCCTCGACGGCAAACACCTAGACACTCATTTTCTCGATGGCGATCACCTGGACACCCATTTCTTCGACCTAGACACCCACTTCCTCGACGACAAACATCTAGACGCTTAATTCCTCGACGGCGAACACCTAGACGCTTAATTCCTGAATATCTATACACCCTCTTCCTCGACGCGGTAAATACCTAGATCTTCAACGACAATCTCGATATTTCATTTTAATTATAATTAATATTTTATTTTAATTCATTTTATTAATTTTAATTTTAATTAATTAATTATAATACGTCACATCGTATATGTGACAATGTTGCCATCGCTGATTATCACAGCCGTTATGTGTGGTTGATCACGTTCGAATGTGCAATGCCGCCATCGCTAGGTTAAGTCAAAAGTCCTCTATTGTTGAAAAAACGAGATAGATATTTTCTCCTGGTCGACGACAATAATGACAATAAGGACGACATATCTGAAAAATGAACTGAAAAAGTAGCAGTTCGGAACTTTGCGTCGCGATATCTCCGCTCGTAGGACACGTAGAAAAAAAATAAAAGCACTTTTATCGTACAATCCGTATAGTGGCTATCGATTGAGCATACATAGAACGTGATCGGTTCAGCCGTTATTGAGATCCGATAATTTCGATCTTGCGCAACTCGTCGGTTCGCGTAAAGGAGACACGGCAGTGTCGCTTCGCGCAGCTTAGCGCCGAGACACTACCAGTGTCTCCAGATTTTATATTACTCTTGCCGTCTATGTTTTAAGTAACATAAATTTATATTAAATGTTTAAGCTAGTAACGCTTGCATAAAGCATATTTAAAGTATAATGTAATACAAAATGATATTATGTGCAATATAAGTAAATTAATGTTAAATATTTTAGTTCAGTGAATTTTTTAAACAGTGTATAAAAAAATAATAGGTAAAAGTAGATTCTAATTATTGTTAATTTACAAATTATTGTCTATTTACAAATAGTTATATGTATAAAGGATTCGAACAATTTTAACAATCTTTTTTAGTTAAATCTAATTTTTACGATAAATATAAAACTGATATCACAATAAAAGTAAATCTACTTAAAATGAAAAATCTTTATTTTCAATGACATAATTAAAAATGAGATTTTAAATAGTTATATCAGCAAAATTACGTGATATTACTTAAACAATCTGAAATCTTAGCCTTAAATAGGGGAAACCGATGCTCAGCACATTTTTCGCACTTTCGGCACTAACTTTTTAAACAATTAATTATGATTAAAATGTATTAATATGATGGAAGAATCCTTCCTTTATATTGTATTTTCATATCAGGAATGTCATCTGTACATTATATAGTTTCTTTGTAGTAAGTAAAATACGAACATGCTGCATTGTATAATCATTTTACCCCTATATTAAGTAAATTGATGTAGATATAAGTTCTCTGTACAATAAACTATAAAAGTTAATGAAAACCTAATACAAATAAAAAAACAGATCACAGATATGTACTTCTTAGGCTGGATTCGGGGAGACGCTATTAGCGCTATTTGTGTCATTCTATCTTCATCGTCCATTAAACGTGAAACAAGGATAGTATGACACAAATAGCGTTGATAGCGCGCTCCCCGAACGCAGCATTAGTAAACATATTTTTTAAAGTTACTTTATAATGATCAAATAGCAAGTGTTATTTTTATAGAAAAAAATATAAATTATTTTAGTTGTAATATATTTTAATATAAAGATATTAAATATAAAGTATTTTATCAGAATTAAATTGTAACTAAATATTCACGCATAGAACTGCAAAGTCTAGCTAACCTTTCCTAAAATATGAGCGCACTCTACACACACATCCCTATGTACATGTAATTTTAACCATTTTACTATAATAAATTACTGTTATTTCTCAACGTAACATGTATAAGTAAAATATATATTAACATATAGTAATATAAATATTTCTTTAACTAATAATGTATCCTTTACATTTACTTCTTCAAGATGAAGAACATTATTACGAAATTATGAAATGCTAAAAAAATTATGTCTCCTTTTGAATCAAATTTTTATCTTCTTCTCATTGTAACATTTGCTTGATTTTTATCGTAAACTTGTTTGATTAAAATGAAACTTAAGAAAAAGAACCCACATTATAAAAGAGATACTTTGCAGTAACTTTTTTATTGTTTTTTTTTTTTGCCATAAATACATAAACGGAACGCAATGCCAACTTGCTTGTTGTGCCAACAAGCATCGGTCTCCCTCATAAAGAACACTGACATATTTGCACATATATTCTTTGGTCATTTTCTTTATTATAAAGTATCCTCATTTTATCATATTTTCTTGAAATAGAAAATAAAACAAAAGACAGATTAACAAAATTGTTATAAGAATAAACATTATTTTTGACTAAAACTAATTTTCAATTTACTTACATCGAGTATGTAAAAGAATATACCGTATAGTAGCAGCTACAGCTGCAGCAGAGATTCAGAGGCAACGCATAGCCGTTGCAATTGCTAATATGCAATTATTAAAAGAGAAAAAGTACTGGATAAATTTTATTTTAACATCAATTTCTAAAAATCGCAGCAAACATAGTTTTTTCTTTGCTTCGCTCCCAAAATTAATCTTGGAAAACATACGATTCCATGAACATGACATGATATATCATGTATTTCAGCGATGTTCGCTATTAGTTAAACAATATCAAACTTTGAGCGTGTAACCTACGGAACTTCGCTATATACGAAAATTGATGGAGTGAGAGTAAAATACCAGCTTTTATTAGCTGTATGAAATGGTACCTTTAAACTAAAACATCTTCAAGTATTTAAAAAATGGAGACAAGAATAAAACGTTCTCTTTTTTACAGTGTAGTTCTTTTTATATTACATTTTTGAATCCTACATTGAAGTGTACATAATGTACTCAACTATGTTTCGCAGTTGGAGAATCATTTCAATGAGAATATTTGTGAACGTGGCAGTACTGTCATTACTCGCACTGTCGGCATATGCTGTGATCAAGGTGGTTGAACGAAGCACTGTGGAATCGCAAAACTGGTGGCGACAGAATGAAATCACCATTGTGATGTCTCTCATTACATATCTTTTCCCAATACTTTTCGAGATCCTCGGCTTTCTCGAAAGCTATCATCCCAGGAAACAGCTCCGAATACAACTAGCACGGTAAAGAGATACTTATTAATTAATCGTGATGGAATATATTTCATTGTGCACCGAGTATAAGCAGTACATTTGGCTGTCCTTTCGTTTCAGGATAATGGTCTTAAATCTGCTAAATCTTTACTCGCTAATATTCGCACTATTCCATAAGATAAGCTCTATGGTACGTATATAATCCGTTAGCGTACATGAATTAGAATAGCACAATGAAGAATATGAATACGCAATATTATTCACGATATTATCCCTGTACTTTACATACTTAGACTCATTGTTTTCTGGATGCGTGGATGTACTTTCTTTACAGAAACAAGACATTTTTTACGATCTCAAACCAATAAACAAATGTGTACATAAATTAGTACCATGCGACGAGCCGACACGTATGCAACAGATCGCAACGTTAGCATCTTTGAGCCTTGTTTTAATAAGCAATATCACCCATTCTCGTGTTAAAAAGGAAATATCGGAGTCAAGTATGATCTATTTAAATCAATATACTTCCAACAGGCATATGTGCTATTTCAATTTATTATAAATTTTAAGAAACATTTAACTATATAATAAGAAGCAATTTTCTTAATTACTTTTCTTCTTTCTTCACCAAATTTCAAAGCAATCGTTGAAGATGATTTATAAAGTAAGAACTTACTTTCGTGACAAATAAACTACAGACATACCGATTAAGGAAATAGCACAAATGTGTTTCATGAATTATATTTTGTTCCTTTACTATGATAAAAGACAATTTCACAATTTTCTGACGAAAATTTGATCGATACGGTCAAATTGTTTTCATTCAGCGCTACCATCCATCAGGCAAGAGACTTTCTTTCTTAATCCTTTGTTGGACAACGATACCTTATATAAGGACTTCAATGATACCTATGATTATAAAGATTATTCGGATTACGATAATTACCAGTCTAAAACTTCGGATATGGATAATAGCAACGAGTCTTCTACCATATCTTATTATGAGGAACAATATACCGAGAATGTGGATGATAACGAAATAAATTATGACACGACCCCGACAGTAATTTCCAATTTTCTAACTGATTTGACAATTACTGAACATTTCTATACAAGTTCTATTTTGTCCCAAAGTGAAACTACAGCGTCGACAACACTCGAATCAAATACAATGGAAGGTATATTATACTTCCTATGTCTTTATATGCTTAATTAATAATTACTCAGATTTTTTACCAGCTAAATACAAACAAATATTAATATCACATCAATATTACAATTTCCCACATTCAGTATAAGCGTAATATAACACATGTTGTATATAACAATTATATTGTTAGTTTATGTTTAGTGGCTATATATATATATATAAAATATATATGTACATTGATTGACTTGTATAATCATTTAAAAGAGCAATTTTTTAAATATTAGAAATATACACTCTGAAACTATTTTAAGTTATCTTAAATAATTAATTAGCAATCATAATAATTGATGTTAAATTTATAACGAATAATCAATTGTATGTCATCGCAGATTCATCGAAAACTATTGATTTTGATGATTTTACTGAAGAAACAATAACTACTCCGTCAATATCATACAGCAAGACGTCATCTGTTAGCAAGTTTAACATTACATCTACAGTAGCAAACACGACAACAATTACAACGCATATTCCGGAAAATCAATTTTCTACTTTGCAATCGAATAAACATGTGATTCCCCTCCCAAAAGACAATTATGTAGACAGATGCTTTGAAAAAATTTGTACTACACTACCGAAAAATTTAGGTTAAAAAAATGTTTTCTTTTTAAATCAAATTTGTATTTCTTATTTCTCTTCAATTTTTGACAATAGATACATTTATTTTCAGATATACGGTTAGAACAACTAAATCTGGAGACACGTAGAAGACTACGTCGATCATGCTGGGAAACTATGTTTGGGCAAGAACTTGCTAAGCTCACTGTCATGGATTTGGTAAGATACAAAACAAATTTTACAAAATCCCAAAGTTGCATCAATAAACATTGCTTATTATATGTGTTTTTTAATATGATTTATATTAGATACTCACTATAGTAGCCACTCTCAGCATGGATTTCTTCCGCGCCGTTTTCGTGCGTTTTATGAACAACTTCTGGTGCTGGGATTTAGAGAAACAATTTCCACAATATGGTGACTTCAAAATAGCTGAAAACATTCTCCATTTAGTTAACAATCAAGGCATGGTTTGGATGGGAATGTTCTTCAGTCCTGGTTTAACGGCACTGAATCTCTTCAAGCTTGGTGTTCTAATGTATTTACGTTCTTGGGCGGTTTTGACGTGCAACGTACCTCACGAAGTAGTCTTCAGAGCGTCCAGGTTAAAATGCATTATTAGTGAAAATTATGTTACACTTTTCTAGTTTTTACCAAACGAAATTAAATAATTAAAATGCGTGTTTATGAATAGTCAAACATCACGCACTGTATTTAAATCGTTCCGTTAGTTTTATATGTGTACTTATCTAGATTTTTTACCCACAATTATTCGTTGCAATCATTTTTATATATTACAGGTCTAACAATTTTTACTTTGCACTGTTATTGACTATGCTATTTTTGTGCGTGTTGCCGGTCGGTTACGCTATAGTCTGGGTCGAACCTTCGTGGTATTGTGGTCCATTTTCTGGTTATCCAAAGATTTATAATTTAGCGACGCAAAGCTTGATAAACTCGCTCCCGAAAATAATCCAACGGTACGTTCTCTTTATAGGAGCGAATTTACGATGCAAATTTATTTGATTGCTTTTACGGTGCAAATTTATTTGAAATTTAGATTATCTTTTGTTGGTTACAGTCAAAATAATTATCATCTCAAATCTATTGAAAACTTTATTCTGATTTAGAGTTCTTGATTACGTTGCATCGCCTGGTATAGTAATACCATTGATTGTTCTCATGACGTTGATTATTTATTACATGGCATCTCTCACTGGATCTTTGCGAGAAGCGAATAACGATCTAAAGGTAACACTATACAAGGTGATCCAGACCAACCGCAAAAACCGGCATGTATGTATTCCTCATGAAAAACTGAGTCGAAAATGTTAATAGCAAAATGTTGAGTCATTAGTTTTTAAATGATGAGCCTTTGAAATCATCCAACCATGGAGTGTAAAATTTGTGCCGTCAGACGCGGCGCAATCAAGCGGCCAACCGCGATCGCGCTTTGATGGATATCGCAAAACATCACGATGCTGAATGAGTATTGAAAAGATTCCGTGAAATCTCTATTAACATCTACTGCTGTATTCTTAAATTGAGCCCAATTTAATTGACGAGGAGTAATTTCAATTGCAAACCCGACAAAATATAACTAAAAAGTGTGTATTTTTTAAATACACAATTTAAGTAATAAACAAATATTAATAAATTAAATCAATATTAATTAAATTATCCGAACAAATAATATTAAAGACATTAGTCAACGAACATTTCCAAAACTTCTTTTCAAATAGTTCTGTCATAAACAATATTAGAAAAAATTTACATTTGAAATTTGCATTTGATATAAATATAATAAAGATTTCATATTTATGAAATAAAACGAAATTCCGAATTACGATATGAGAAGAAAAGAAAGTATTACAGTGAATGAATCGAAGTAACCAAATATAATCGAAGTAAGCAAATATAAACTGTATTGTTACTAAAAACTACATTAAAATGTAATTTTATTATTATTAAATTTTTTCTAATATTGTTTATGACAGAACTATTCGAAAAGAAGTTTTGGAAATGTTTGTTGGTTGGTGTTTTTGATATTTGTGTTTGGATGATTTAATTAATATTGATTTAATCTATTAACAATTGTTTATTACTTAAAATGTATATCTCAAAAACACTTTTTTTTTTAATAATGTTTAATCGAATTTGCAATTGAAATTACTCCTCGTCAATTAAAATTAATTTAAGAATGCAGCAGTAGACGTTAATTGAGATTTCACGGATCCTTTTCAATATTCATTCAGCATCGTGTTTAGCGATATCCTCAAAGCGCGATCGTGACCGCGGCCGCTTGATTGCATCGCGCTTGACGGTGCGAATTTTACACGTCGTGGTTGGACGGTTGCAAAGGCTCACCATTCAAAAACTATTGACACACCTCAACATTTTGCTATTAACATTTTCGACTCAGTTTTTCATGAGGAATACGTACATGTCGGCTTCTACGATTGGTCTGGATCACCCTGTATAAGGGAATATACACAGTAAAAAAGGAAATGTTAATTTTAACATTTTTTGCATGTCCCAGGAGATCCACTCTAAATTTTAAGTTAAAGTAACTCATTCTTGTGTTATTTATTAACGAATTAGTAATGTTAAATAATTGACACAATACTTTACATTTATATTTGTTATTTTGACTTTAAGGGTGATTTAAAACTAATATATAAAATAAGTAGAGTACATAGAAGAGTAGTTGCAGTAACTCGTAAGAAAATGTTAATAAAACATTTTTGTTCGTATAATGTAAATGAAAAAAATTCTTACATATTAAATTGACTTTGAGATATATAGATTAATTGAAACAATTGTGTTAAAAACACTCAAAATAATATTCCATTTTTAATTGACATACGCAATTGTTAAGTTAGAAAGGTGAAATAAATCTAACACATCAAAATGTTACAAAAATAATAACGTATCAGTTGTATGTTTATTTTACATTGAAGTAATAATCAAAATGTGGTAACACAAGAAAAATTCTACATATGGACGCATGATTTTTTACTGTGTACGGTATATAGAGTATAGAGCTTCGTTAAATTGTGTATAAAGTTTAATATTTTATGCTTAATTGTTATTTTTAATACTTATTATTATTGTCATTATTATTATTAATTTTATACTTATTATATAATATAAACGTGTTGTTCTAGATGCAACTACGACAGGAGCGTACAGAAGAACGTCGGAAATTGTTTAAAATAGCAGAGAAGAGGCATACCATAGCTGAGACTCCGCTATCGAAATGGAAAAAGATCCTTCCGGCGTTGCCACAGGTCAAAATATCTCAAAATTCCGAAACAGTTCAAAAGGAAAATGTACAGATCTCAATTGGGAATGTGAATACAGTGGTAGGTATAGTTGAAAATAAAGACTTGATAAATGACACCGAAGAATATTCACGTCAGGATCAAGTATTGTCCAATTACGACAACGAGCAACGAGTTGAAGAACAGGATGGTTTGATATCAAACGATACATCTTCTAACAGAGGGTATGATAATAACGATTAATTGCAAAAATGAAATTGGCAAACTTTTCTATGCAAGCTTCTAATGAATAGATTGCATAATTAAAAATATCAAATATGTTTATACATTGCTGAATTATGCATAATAAATAATTTTCATAAGCAGATTGATAAACGTGGTTGGATGTTCTTGGGACTCACCGTCGAATAAGCAAAGTGTTACCATACCAGAAATCCAAGTAAACAATGAAGAAAAAGTCGTATCCGACGTTTGCGCAAACGTTGATGATGAATTGGATGATGTTCCTGAAAACGGCAATCAAGAGATAACGTAACGAATTGAGTGTAATATAAACTATTTAAAAAAAATGAAAATAATAATTTTGTAAGGATCTGAGAAATGCGATTTCTCAGAATTCGTCTTGTACTAGTCCATACAAAAATATTAAAAGAGAATCTTTTTAGAATTGTAGATTAGAATTATAGATTTAGTATTAGTCATCTCATTCTTCAAACATGTAATACGACGTATATATTGCGCTTATTTTTACGATTGTAGATTTTCTGAAATATAAAATTTGTAGACACCTTGTGATTATACATTTATTTCTACAAATATATGTGTGTAAAACATTTATAAATATTTATAAATAACTATCGCACATTGCTGAAGACGACATGAAGCAGCTATATCTAAACTTCCGGATTTGTGACGGATTCATAGAAACGCACACTGTACACGCAAAATCACATTTTGATTGAGCATTGGCACATTCCTAATACCTTTATCTTATCAGACATTACATTAAATAAACATTGAGCTGTGTTCCGAGATTATTTATACGTACATCAATATATCCTGCATATACAAAAATATATTCTCTTCACCAGCAAACGTACGATTTAATCTCACGTTAGTATAAATTAATTATACATTATTCTTACGTAACGACCATTTAAAAAATCCGTCAATATCGAGGAACATAAATTAATTGTAATTAATTAATTAAAAAATGAAGGAAAAGCTGTGTTATGTTATAATATATTCCACACTGGTTACAAATTATCTTTGCATTTGGATATCTTTTTTCTTATCAATAAATATTAGTTTTTCTCGCCAAATACTTAGTATTTGTACAAATCGTCATGTACGACGCGGAATATATCAGCATCTTTGCGCCAAGCGTTTACGCTGCTCATCGAGAAGTATGGATGCTTCGCTCATAATTTTAGCAGTAGTTCGTACCAAGAATAATAATTGATATTCGTCTATAACGGTCAACGCTGCCTTCGTCTTGATGAGAGCATGAAGTACGTTCGCTCGTTCGAGGTCGAGCCATCTCTGAAGCGCCACTTCTCTTTCCCGTGGACCACCAAATGGCACATCGGCCGGGCCCCACAATGAGAATTCCAACACGGATTTCACCTAATTGCCAAAAGAATTAAACAGTAATTTTATCCGAAGGATGCAGATTGTGCTGGCAACTAATAAATTTAGTAAGTGCAAATATAAGACATAATAGCAACTGTAAATGCCTGAAATAACAAGGCATTGCTATCAACAATTTTTGGTTTAAAAAGGCATGCAAATTTAATAATTAAGAAAGATATACATAAGTATATAAGCATGGTAAAATAAATGTATAGTTAAATTGGAAATATTTGCACGTGCATCCTACGAATTATAGAATCAAATAGAAATAAGTTTTCACCTGCGAGAGTGTAACCGCTTTCTCACGTATCAGTAAATCTTGTATGAGAGGTAGTTCGTCCGTCAGATGCAACTGTTGCAGTGCTATTAGAGCGCATTCGCACAAAGAGACCCGTTCCTCACTAGACTCATCGCTCGGGTCTATGTTTAACCTTCTGCAAAACGGAAGTTAAACATTGAATAACGGGATCGTGGAGATCCGTACGATTATATTATTATACTGCGTCAAGTTGTCGTTACACGAGAAAATACTAGCCCTTGTAGAAGGTACAGTCGATAATAAACATCCTCTCTGCAAAGTACAACGTCGCTTAGAGATTTGCTGGCATCCTCGATTCCGCGTGCTTGAAGACTCTTCAGAGCGTTGACCAGTTGAAGAAAGACGAACGACGTTTCTCTGCTGGCGCCCTCACCGTTTATGTTCTTCGACATCGCTCCAAATGATTGTATGGTAATGACATTCAGGCATGGAAGAATTGAAATTGTAGCTAAAGCAAGAGAATTATTGTTAAATATATAATAATTTATATTTTTTAATGTTTTTTTATCGCGAAATTTCAATATGTATTACCTACCTTCAACATCCTCGTTCCTGGAAGGCTGAACCTTTTCAATTATCTTTTTCGGCACCTTATCTACAAATTCTATTATAGGTGTTAAATAAAAATCTTTTTGTGGCATAGGCATAGCTAAATCAAATGCTATGCAAAGAGTGACATTTTGATCATTCCACGTAGCAGGACAAAATATTCTTCTACCGATGGAGACCAATGACAAAGTATCGACGTTAAAATGTTTCAATCGGGGATTCGCATTTTTGAGGGCACGCAGACTTGGGGGAAACTGGACAGTTTGATTTTCCTGAAAAGACGTAGTCAGAAAAAAATTACTTTTTATTATTTTATTGCTGCATAACAAATAGATAAAGAATTATTTTGAACTTAAAATATTCCATGTAACTTCCTTCAAGAAAATATCTTAATTATCTTCTTGAATCTATGGTAAAGCTTGTAGGCATGAAGCTACTCCTACAAATTGAGGATAACAAAATCTGTACACGAGAGATCGATAAGAAACTCGTTTGTATGTGTTTCAGGCAAACAAGAACATACAACGGTAAATAATTACAATATAGAGCTAACCTGTTCAAGAAATTGGGCGAGCGCTTCGTGATTCGCCACTACCACCGCGCCGTAATTATCCTCGAGGCTTCGATGAACGATAGTGCGCCCCCGGCGTTGCCTCAAGCGGCCCATTCTCAGCTCGTCATCCGCGTTCTTCCAATCTTGGTCCTCCTCGGCGCCCTGGAGTTCACGGGCGTTCGATTAAAAAGGTACATTTAATGCGGGAACAAAATGAAAAACATAAACTCTGAAAGCGTACCTCGTCACCAGTGTAGAAAGTATACGACGCGTAAAGTTCGCTCTCCGTCTCGCTGCCGCAATACGGCAACGAGATCGACCTTACAAACGAGGGTTGATGATGAGCCTTTGACTCCCCGATTATTGCACTGCTGTCGGACTTCCTTTTACATGCGGCGCGGAATCCGTTTCCGCTTCCGTGACGCAGCTCAAGATTCGAATCGCACTCGGGCGAACTCGAGAGGCACTCGTACATATGACTGTCGTTGGATGTCTATTGAAATGTAAGTAATTGCTGTACTATCAAATCGCTATTGAGGTGGTTCCAAACGATATAGCACATACGGCGCATATATTACGGCCGAATATACATTTTCTTGCCATTTCTTTCTCTTGAATTTTTAGAGAATTGTTGCGTTCTTATACTATTATTCTCTTGTATCTTTTTTTATTGATGAATAAAAGAAAAAAATAACGCAGATATTTTTGACAAGAAAATGTGACGTTGATGTTACCAATTTTATGTATAAATTCTAAAAATAAACTTCAAAATCTGCTTTCCTTTAAAGATATTATCCATCACTTTCTCTTTAGCGTTTTTTTCCCTATTTCCCTATTTTGTTTGACAATAAATAAAAGTATGTACAGGAAATTATTGCAGCAACAATTACAAAGCAATTATCTTCTTTTCGCTGTTTACCTTTCCCGAGATCTATGAACATTCGACTATATATAAAGTATTAAAGAATGGGGGGATCCCGTTTGCCTACAAATCGATTGCCTACAATATCTTTTGCCTACATCACTTTTGCCTACAGTTCGATTGCCTACATGTATTATTGCCTACAGCTCGATTGCCTACATGCTCTTTTGCGCACAAATAAAAATTTTAAAAACGGAGTTACTTTTGCCTACATGTACTATTGCCTACATGTATTATTGCCTACAAGCACTTTTGCGCACACAAAATTTTCAGAAACGAAATATCACATTTGTTTACATGTATTACCTACAGATCGATTGCCTATATACATCATTGCCTACAGCTCGATTGTCTACATGTATTATTGCCTAATACAGCTCGATTGCCTACATGTACTATTCTCTACTTTAAAAACATAAATTTTGTTTTAAAACACAAATTTTCTGCTTTAGAAACACAAGTTCTTTATTTTAAAACAAATTCTCTGCTTTAAAACACAAATTTCTGCTTTCAAAATGCAAATTATTTTTCTTACTTAACTTAACCTTAATTTTATGTTTGTGCAAAAGTGCCCGCGTAGGAAAACGATCTATAGGCAATAATATTTGTAGTTAATAATACATGTAGACAAATGTAACTCCGTTTCTAAAATTTTTATTTGTGCGCAAAAGCGCATGTAGGCAATCGAGCTGTAGGCAATCGAACTGTAGGCAAAAGTGATGTAGGCAAAAGGTACTGTAGGCAATCGATTTGTAGGCAAAAGCAACCATCTCTTAAAGAATACTGGATGCAACGTGTGAATCGTGTTCGTATTAACATTTTCATGCTGCAGTCCAACAATAATAATCGATTCACATTCAATGTTTGCGTGTACGTCGTCTGGAACCGGCTTTAGACAGACTGATTTGTAGAAAAGCCTCTCTTACCGGCGACTCGGAAGTGGGTCGTGCAGTGGCGAGCCTGTCGTAATCCCGGTGGTGATCTTCAGCCGACGTACCCAGTGACCTTTTCGTGACGGGTTGAGAAACTGCTCGATCTCTCATGCTGGCAGTTCTTTGGGGTTTCGAGGGTGTCAGGGCACTGCGTACCTCACCTGTAACATCCTCCGCTGCTGCAGGCACGATCCGCCATCGTCAAGCGCCACGGGTTAGTATCACAAGACACAAGGCATGTCAACGAAACGGGCTAGCTATCCGGGCTTAGATAGTTCGCCTAACACACTACTGGGATACATTACTGGAGGAACATCCGCACAACGCAAGAGTCAAATTAATTGACGTAGCGATACGATAGAGACGTTAGTTCACTCATGGTTCCACGTATGTAGACTAATCGCTACATGAAAACTATTTTTTTTTTCCAGACAGAACATCCAAATAATCTTTAATATAGAGTCTCTGATCTAAACCCGATTTTATGAGCACTCAAGCGTTGATGGCTAACGTGGACCATGCGAGGATACATCTTTCCGCCGACGAAGCCTTCGAGCAACGTTTATCGCGCTACAAGCGAAAACGGGCATTGGGATCGACGAATAACATAGCACATACGGCATTTTTT